CCACATGGCAGCTAACAATTGTCTGTAACTCCAGTCCCAGGGGATCTGACAGCCTCTTCTGACCTCCACGGGCATTGCACGACACGGGTGCACTTACCTACATGCAGGCAATACATGCATACACATAAAATAAAAATAATAAATAAATTATAAAAATAAAATGTAAGTCTGTTTTTTTTTTAAAAAAAAAAGTACATACATAAATCCTAAGAATTGCTTTGAATAGCACTGGGTATACTCTAAAAAAGTACTCAAAGTTTGACTCAAAGTTTTAGAAGTTATATTCCATAATTGTTTGCTTCATAGCTTTGGCCTATTAGCACAGTATGGTAGAAACATGTGTTGGACCAAAACTGCTGACTTCATGGCCAAAAAACAAAAGAGAGAAGAGGGAAACTTAAGGGTCCCACTGTGCCCTTTGAGGACATATCCCTGTGATCCAAGGACCTCCACCTAGGCCCCATCTCTTTTTTTTCTTTTCTCTTTATGTGTGTATCTGTATACGTGTGCAGATGTACAGGCATATGAGTATGAGTGTGCAGGATGGAGGTTGATATCAAGTATCTTCTTTAATCTCTTGCTACATTATTGTTGGTGGTGGTGGTGGTGGTGTTATTGTTAGTTTGGCCCAAAATCTGTCACTGGCCTGGAACTCACTGATTTAGCTACTGGCTAGCAAGCTCCAAGGATCCTCATATTTGCACCTTCTTCTCAGCCCAGGATTACAGACCTTCCTTATATTGTCACACCTGACTTTTTTTTTTTTTTTCCTTTTTTTGGTCTTTTTGAGACAGGGTCTCCCTATAGCTCTAGCTGTCCTGGAACTCACTATGTAGACCAGGCTGGCCTTGAACTCACAGAAACTCACAGAGATCCGCCTGCCTCTGCCTCCCGAGTGCTGGGATTAAAGGCGTGTGCCACCAATTTATTTTTATTAAATCTTGTATTTCATACAGAATATCTCAAACAATCTGAATCATCTTTATAGCCCTGTCCCCACCAGACCCCTCTCATAGCCCTCGCACTGGAACCCATATACTCTGTCCTGGGTGTTAAGGCCCACTGTGTCAAGTCAGTGTCCCCAGACATTCCCCAGTGCAAGTCCATCCACTTGCACTCTAGTCAGATCCCTGTCATCTGTCTATCCAAACACCTGTCGTTTTCTTTTTTTATTTTTAACAGAGCATAGGGTGGGGGTTTATTTACAGAGGAGTGGGTACTTTCCCCATTTATGGCTGCACTGAAAAGTCCACACTCAAATATAGATCCTGTGACTTCCCAACATCTCCAGAAAATGGTGAGAGAGGTGCCTCCTGGCATTCTCAGCTTATATATCCTTAGCCCCTCCTCCACATGCAGCTAAGGTCGACTGATTGAGTGGGAGGGGTGGCTTTTTTTTTTTTTTAACCTGGGTGCTGGGGATGGAACTCAGGTCCTTATGCTTGAACCAACAAGCACTTTACTGATTGAGCCATCTCTCCAATCCCTAGGGCCCATCTTTTAAAGGCTTTAATGCCTCCCAGTTGTGCCAAGCTGGGGACTAAGCCTCTAGGACATGAACCTTTGCGGGACACTCATGCTCCAAACCATAGCAGCAGGTTTACATGTCCTTGAGGTCACCCAGTTGTCATGAGGAAGACCTGGGGGGGGGGGGGGGGGCTTAGCACCTGAGTTCAAGCCACCTCACTCTCCTTGGTGCCCTCCAGGAATGGGACTGACCTTTCTGCTCCATACTTCTGTCCAGGAGGGCGCAATCTAACCAGACCAAAGGATCAGAAGAAAAGGCACTACTGAGATGGGGCACTCTCCTCTTGAGACCATAATTGCTATAGATATTTGGATGTTTCAAGCTGAAGAAAGTTTCACATACTAAATTGTTTCTTTTTCAGGGTAATAGATGGTCTGGAGACTTTGGATGAATTGGAGAAGTTACCAGTAAATGAGAAGACATATCGACCTCTTAATGATGTGCACATTAAGGACATAACTATTCATGCCAACCCATTTGCTCAGTAGCTGTAATAGACGTGGAAGATACTTAGACTGTTCACTGGAACAAGCCCAGTGTGGTTTACCCAGTTTTGATTATGTCAGAGACTGTTGTTTACAGTAAGGTCATCTATCTAAGCTCCAGGAGCCCCACAGCTTTTACCCCCGTTCTTCCACATATTCTGTACCATTGCTATTGTTCAATATATTCAGTATAAATAATGCCTTGTTTTTATTGCATGTAACATTCATTTAAACATTTTTTAATTTATTTTTATTTTATGTGTATGAGCATCTTGCCTTCATGTATGTAAGTGCACTTGTATGTGCATTGCCCATGGAGTTCAGAAGAGATGAGTTGGATCACCTGGAACTGAAGTTGTGGACAATTGTTAGCTACCATGTAGATGCTGAGAATCAAATTCAGGTTCTTTGCAAGAACAGTTCTCTTAACTGCTGAGCCGTCTCTCCAGTCCAAATATTCGTTTTTGTTTTTTAATGCTGATTCTCAAATACTGGCATTTTTAAGCACCTGAATTACATACTATTACCCTAGTTAATCTGTATCTTAGAAGTTACTATTTTGCATTAATTACTCACTTTCTATAGATAGAAGGAAAATCAGCCTGTAGAGAGGTAGCACATGCCTATAATCCCAGCACTTACGAGGCTGAGGCAGGATCATGGGTTTGAGGCTAGGCTGTGCCACAAAGGAAGAACCTGACTCAAGAAAGGAAAGAGGAGCAAGATAAAGAAGTGTTCTAGAAAGGCCAGCCATTCTGTTTGTTATTTTCTGTTTAGTGGAGATTGGATATTTTGTTTTGTTTGGGAGGATAGAGGTTCTGAAAGAGAGTCGTTTTGGTCAGTTGCCCAGGCTGGCTTCTACCTCTCAATCAATGCTCTGTCTCAAGTGCTATGATTGCAGGTATAAACCACCACACCTAGTTACCGAATTTTTTTAATAGTGACAAAGGCCAGGTGAGGTGGCATACACCTTTAATCTTAGCACTTTGGTGACAAAAGTAGGCAGATCTCTGTGAAATTTACATAGTTCCGGGCCAGCTGGGGCTACAAGACCCTGTCTTGAAAAACAAAAATCACAACAAAACTTAGAATAACTGCTCACTTATAACCCTAAAGAATACAGGTATGGCCAGGCATGGTGGCACACGGCTGTAGTCCCAGCACTTGGGAGGCAGAGGCAGGTGGATCTCTGTGAGTTCGAGGCCAGCCTGGTCTACATAGTGAGTTCCAGGACAGCTGGAGCTACAGGGAGACCCTGTCTCAAAAAGACAAAAATAAAAAACACAGGTATGAAGGACTACCGCTTGCCCACTGTAGGTTTAATACATGTTCAAGATCCAAAATACTAATTTCTGTCTGCTTATACTGAGTTGACTGGTCCATACTGATCACATTAGTGACTGGATGATTAACACTCTGTTCTCTGTATTAACTGGCTGTAAATGAATCTAAGACAACTACAGTAATGCTTCCCTTTAAAAAGAAAATGTAAGGTGTTCTGTCTACACCAAAGGTTGTTTGGCAAACTACATCCCTTAGGCTCGCCGCACTTTTTTTGTAAATAATATTGTAGAACTCGGCCGTGCCCATTTTTTAATATTTTTTCTCTATCTCCTTTGCTCTACAACAGTGGTACTGATTGCTGTGACAGAGACCAAATGTCACATAAGCCTAAAATATTTATTGATACTCTCTTTAGAAGAAAAAAAAAAAAAATATGGGGCTGGAGAGATGGCTCAGTGGTTAAGTGCACTGGCTGCTCTTCCAGAGGACCAGGGTTCCCAGCACTCACAATGCCACTAACAGCTGTCTGTGCTCCAGTTCCAGGGGTTCTGGTTTCGATGCCCTCTTCTGACTTCCAGCATTTCACAACACAGGTGCATTTACATACATGCAGGAAAAATACTCATACACATGAAAATTTTTTTCAAAGAAAAAATTGTTAACCCTTGATTTAGACTATCAAAAATTGACAAGAGCTGAAGTGCAACTCCAGGGCAGAGCACTTGTCTGAGTTGCCAGATAACCATGGTTTCACAGAAAAGGAAATTGGATGCTTGAGGGGGAAACTATTCCTGACACCCTCCTCTTCCCAGTAGAACTGTATGTACCTATACCTATCTATTAGAATATTTAAGTCCTGTTAGATCTTGGTTTGCTGCAATCATCAAAGGCTTACAGAGCTTCTGGTTAAAGATAGTTGAACTATTACAGTTTATACGTTGGTTCCACTTAGCAATATGTAACTTATATCTGTCCGTTCCACTCCTCCTGTATTTGTGAAGAAAAGTAGTCTCACCTATTTAACAGCCAAAACTAGTAAATTAATTTATTCAGCATCTTCCAGGTTTGGATACAAAGGTGCCTAGGCACAGTGTAATAAGCTAACAGATGTATCCATAGACTAACATTATAATACATAGGACTGAACTTTCAATCAGCAAAGTGGATACATTAATTATTGTTTCACTGGTGAGTTGAAAAAATGAAAATTGTTTTCAGTTACTTTCAATTTGTACTACTGGTAATGCACACCTGTAATTCCTGCACTTAGGAGGCAGAGCCAGGAGGATCTCTGTGGGAGACAGGCTTGAGCCTAGGGTGATATTGCAACTGTCAGGGTCACATGGTTTCCAGGAATTCAGGCTCTGTAATCTGAAACCCAGTATGCTAATGAGGCATCCTACCCACTATTCTGTGATAGGACATTAAGTCTGTTACGCTAACAGGATGCTAAGTCTGTTATGCTAATAAGGTATCCTACTTGCTGTACTGTGATAGGACGCTAAACCTTTTATGCTAATGAGGTATCCTACTTGCTGTGCTGTGATTGGACCACTACCCCTATATAAGTTTGTGCCTTCCTGCAATAAACCAGACCTGTGTCACTGAACATGGTCTCCTGTGTCTGAATGCAGCTCCGCTGACACAGTCTCCTCACCAGCCCTGTGGTCCAGAACTGAGCAGAAGCAGAGATGGAGGGGGAGGAGGAGGAGGAGGAGGAAGAAATGGTGGCTCACACCTTTAATTGCAGAGGTAGGTTGGCTCTCTGTGAGCCTGGTCTACATATTAGAAAAATACCTGACAAGGGAGGTTTTGTTTTTTTTCTTGGTTCACAGTTCAAGGATACAGTCTAGCATGGTGGGGAAGTCAACCACAGCAGGAACTGAAGGTAGCTGGTTACATTGCATCCACAGTCAGGAAGCAGAAAGAGATGAATGCTGGTGCTCAGCTTGGTTTCTTTTTATTTAGTCCAGGATCCCAGTCCATAGAATGACACCACCAATACTTAGGGTCTTCTCACTCAATTAACCCAGCCAAGAAACCCTCACAGAAACGTCCAGAGCTTTGTTTGCATGGTGATTATAAATTTCAGGTTGACAATCAAAAATAACTCTTGGCACAGGAGGTAGAGGCAGGTTGATCTCTGTGAGTTGGAGGCCAGATTGGTCTGCACAGCAAGTTTCAGACCAGCCAGACACACATAGTGAGGCCCTGTCTCAAAAGAAAAAAGGAAAAAAAAAAAAAAAAAAAAAAAAAAAAAAAAAACTATTGGCAGAGGCAGCATCCCCCAGCTCTGCAACTGCCACTCCTACCTGCCTTCCATCACTCTGCAAGTCCCCTCCCTGCAAGCATGGCCTGCACCAGGGTCACTGGTTCTCAAGAAATCAAGTCCCAGCAGAGCATGGTGACTTCCAGCATTTTGAACTGGAAGAAAACCCAATACAACATAGTGGACATCTCCCAGGACAATGCTCTTCGAGATGAGATGCACATCTTGGTAGGCAGCCCCAAGGCCCCTTACTTCAGACTGTCAGGACCAGTTCTATAGTGAGCGTTAGGATAGAACCTGGGTCCTCAGCAAGGGCAGCCAGTCTCTGCAGTGGTCCTGAGGAGGTACAGAAGTTGTACCATGTTGGAGACTGCAGCCAGGGTCAGACCTGGACAAAGCACTCAGGTGACCACTCTGTCCCTCAGGCCTATGAGCTCTTCATCATGGCTGTGGAACAGTACACACTACAGGAGTTCCTGACCACAGCCCCCACCAGATGTGGCACCACTTTCTTCCCAGACTTCACTGGGCCCTGAACTGAAAGTCCTTGGGACCAACTCCGTGTCACTCCTAATCTTTAGAACTTGGAGTCCCTCCCCCTAAACCCAGGCCTTTCTGTAGTTTCCCCCTCCCTTCAAAATCGGCATTGCTTATTCACTGACTGGTCTCAAAAACTGACTTAAGCAAAGCCTCAATACTGGCTAGCCCCAACCAGACCTTGTAGGTACCACCCTGCTTGACACTGGCTGATGGGTATTTCTATTGATTTCACTAGCCAGAGCTCTGCTAAATAAGGCCCTGCTGCCTGCCTCCTGGGAGTGTCCTAGAGACAACTAAATGCCCATTTGACTGGTTTAAAAATACAACTATTGGGGGGCTGGAGAGATGGTTAAGAGACTAGCTGTTCTTGCAGAGGACCCAGGTTCTGTTCCCAGCATCCACATGGTGGATAACAACCATCCGTTACTCCAGTTCCAGGGGATCTGATGCCCTCTTCTGACCTCCTTGGCATTGCATGACAAGGGTACAATTTTTTTTTTTTTTTTTTGGTCTTTTTGAAATAGGGTCTCTCTAGCCCCAGCTGGCCTGGAACTATGTAGACCAGGCTGGCCTCAAACTCACAGAGATTCGCTTGCCTCTGCCTCCCAAGTGCTGGGACTACAGGTGTGTGCCACCACACCCAGCAGACATAAAGTTTTTTTTAATAAATATTGCTTATTTTCTCCTTTAACACGATAGTATACTGTGATTAATTTTTTTTTTTTATGTGAATGACTGTATTGCCTGAATGTGAGTGCACCTGTGTTCTGCAGTACCAGTGAGGTCAGAAGAAGGCATCAGATCCCCTGGAACTGGAGTTGCAGATGGTTGTTAGCCACCATGTGGGTGCTGGGAATTGAACTCAGGTCCTCTGCAAGAGCAGTCAGTGCTGTTAACCATGGAACCATCCCCCCAGCCCCTACTGTGATTAGTTTTTAACCTGAAAAGACTGATATTCCCTAGATTTCTGAAAAGCTCCTGTGATGCAATCAATCTATGTGAAATATTTGTGTTTATTTCATGATCCTGGCCATGAAGCAAAGTTTCTGGTGTTAATTGCTTCAGAACAGTTTTAAACCCAGTAAGGGAAATGGCTTAACAATTAGAAAGCTTCTAAGCC